CAGGGAGCCCGATGCGGGACTCGATCCCGGGACTCCAGGATCATGACCTGAGCCGAAGGCAGTCGCTTAACCAACTGAGCCACCCAGGCGCCCCCAAAGTTGTGTTTCTAAGCAGGCTTAAGGTGCTGCCAAGCAATGGCCTAAGTTTCATTTCAAATGCAGTTCTACAAATATGGATTGAGAATTGCAAGCAGGAAGTGTGAAGTAGTATTACAATACTAATGAGATGATAGTGGTTTGGACAAGAATGATGGAAACAAGGTGGTAAGAATTGAGAGGGAATATTTTGAAGGTAGAGCCAGCAAAATGCAGATGCACTGAAATGTGTGGTATGAGAGTCAAGTCCATGGTGGTTCTGAAGGCTTTGGCCTGAGCAACTGAACGCATTGAAGTTGCCCTTAACTAAGATGGGGAATACTGTGGGAGGAACAGGGTGAGGTAGAAAACCAGAAGCTCTATTGGGACATGTTAAGTTTGAAGTGCCTTCAGACATGCAGGTACTTACATGGGCCATTGAGCCCACTTCTGGGGTGGGATCTGGGATGGAGATATAAATGTGGGGAGTCAACAGCATATGAGTGATATTTAAACCTACTGGACCAGACAACCCACCCAGAGAGTAAAGGGAGATAGAGAAGAGACCAAGCCCAGGGAGAAGAAGCAGTCCACTAGTTAGTGATTGGAGAGATGAGGAGAAATCAACAAAAGAAAGTGAGAAAGAGGGGCGCCTCGGTGGCTCAGATGGTTGGGGCAGTTGCCTTCGACTCAGGTCATGATCCCTAGGTCCTGGGATCGAGTCCTACGTCTGGCTCCTGGCTTGGCGGGGAGTCTGCTTCTCCCTCTCCCTCTGCTCATGCTCTCTCTCTGTATCTCAATGAATCTCTGTCTCAAATGAATAACTAAAATCTTAAAAAAAAAAAAAAAGTGAGAAAGAGTAGCCATGAGGAAGGTCCTCTCAGAGCCTTACTATTCTTTAAGTTAGAGTGTACATCCTGGAAGAGGTAGAAAGTAACAAATACATACATGTACATGAATATACACACACACATACACATAATTAGATGGTTATAAACAAGGGATCCAAGTTTCTGGTGACTGAAGCTTACCCGAGGAATAATAAAGAATAAGAAATTAGAGGTGCCTGTGTGGCTCAGTTGTTAAGCGCCTGCCTTTGGCTCGGGTCATGATCCCAGGGTCCTGGGATCGAGCCCCGCATCATGCTCCCCGCTCAGTGGGAAGCCTGCTTCTCCCTCTCCCGCTCCTCCTGCTTGTGTTCCCTTTCTTGCTATGTCTCTCTCTGTCAAATAAATAAATAAAATCTTTTTTAAAAAAGAATAAGAAATTACAAAAACCAAACTAGGTAAGAAAGAGAATGTTTATTTAGTACAAGAAATCACAACACAAATTGTGGGAGAAATCAGCCCATTACAAATTGCAATTTGTAACTTCACCCAAAAAGCTGACAAATAACACAAACATCACAAAGTCCAGAAAAGAAACATGTTTGTTAGTTTTCTTAAACACCTCCATAATACTTTTTCTTTTTCAGGCTGAATATGCTTTGATCACCTCTTTATATGACAACAATTTTGATCATTTTCCATAATGAGAATGGAAAAATAATTTCCTCTAGCATGTTAGATCAACATTTTTTATTTATTTATTTATTTATTTATTTGCCCAAACCAGTATAGCTTTTATTGCATCTTTAAAATATCACAAATAAGTATGAAAAATCATCCGGCATCTTGCTGTTTCTGTAGATGGACAACTCAGATCTTATTCATCAGCCTGCTGAACTGTTCCTTTTTCAGAAACATAGATACCATCCAAAA